AACTTAAAAAAAACTTTGGCCAAAATGTGTCTAAATATGACCCTTTTTCACCAGTTCTGTTAGAATGTAGAGAGGCTAGCTAGTCTGCATATATGAGGAGACTTCAAAAGTTCATGGAAAAAGGTAACCAGCAGTTAGCGTAATGGCTATGTCGCTGGACTCCCCATATAATTGACCGCGGTTTGTGTCCCGGACCCGGTGGCTTAAAACTCACGCCGGGCGCGTGTGTGTGCGTGCCTAAGATCCCGAGAGGAGAATGGAGGAGAAAGGATTGCGGCGTGACCATCCCCCCTGGGGGGTGATTTCTTGCTTTCTGTCTCTATGTCTCTCTCTGTCTGTCTGGCGAGCGCACGCGCCCTATAGCGAAAAACCTCCACCAAAAAAAAAAAAAGTTCATGGAAAAAGTGGAAATAAAGTCAGAGTCTATTTTGGTGCAAAAAAATTTGAAATCTGTGCATAATTTTTTTTCATAATATGTTTTATGAACTTTTTGAAGTCACCTCAGAGAGTCCACACATTTCCATATGAAATTATCTATGTTGGGCCTGCTTAAATTTGTCTCTCTTTTTTTTTTTCTTAAGGTTTTTTTTTTTTTTTTTTCCTCCATAGGACTCCTGTCCTCATTGGAGGGAAACAGAAAAATAAAGAGTGAGAAATCACTCACTGGGGTGTCTGCCATTCTATAATCCCTTCTCCAGGCTCCTCTTGTCATCTTGGGCATACACAAATAAATGCCTGGTGTGATTTTCAAGCTGCCAGGTAGACTTGAACTGCAGTCGGCCATGTGAGAGTCCAGCGCCTTAATCACCATGCCACATGCTGGCCCCTTTTCTCCTATTTTTAAAAATAAACTTATTTGAAAATAGTTTTAGATTTATAGAAAAACTATAATACACCCCCACTCACCCAATTTTATCTATTATTTACATCTTATTTATAAGGTACGTTTGTTACAATTAATGACCCAATAGTGATACATTATTATTGTGAAAGTCTATCCTTAATTCAAATTTCCTTAGTTTTTCTCTAATGTCCTTTTTCTGTTCAGGGATCCTATCTAGGGTACTATATTGCATCTAGTTATCATTTCCCTTTAGGGTCTTTTAGGCTTAGAGCCTTACTTATTTTGATGGTCTACATACATCGTTTTGAGGGGTTCTGGACAGGTATTTTGCAGAATGACCTTCCACTGGAATGTGTCTGATGTGTTTCTCATGGACAGACTGGGGTTATGGGTTTGGGAGAGGAAGACTATGGAAGTAAAGCATCTTTGTGTCCTATCACATCAAGGGTCTGACTGTGATACATGCTGTTGATGTTGACCTGGTTGCCTGGCTGTCCTGTGTATCCGGTTCCTCCACTGCCTAGTTATTCTCCCCCTGCCCCTTCTCAGTGTACTCTTCGGAAGGAAGTAATTTAAGAAGTGGGTAGCTATGCCCCACTTCTTAGCTGCACAAGGTATCTATATAAGTCATTTAGAATTATTCTGGATAGATTAGTCTATTCTATCCCATCTATTTGATCATTTTTGTAAGGATAGACTAGTGGATGCTTACTTTATAGTTTGAGTTATATTCCAATACTGCTTCTGTTTTACTGGTCAAGTTTCAGGGTTGCCCATTGGGAGCTCTTTCGGTAACTGGCTGCTGTATTCCTTTGACATACCCTCCCAGTGCACGTTATTATTGTGGTTTGAGCACTTCAGTACTTTCTGGCACCACAAGATGCTCTAGGGTCATCTTACATATCTTCTACCCCATAGAATTGGCTATTTCTCCAGGTAGCTCTGGTTCCTTCTATTGGAGCATGGTCTTAGAAAACAACATCAGGGGGCCGGGCGTGCTTGTTGCTACTGGGTATCTATTTTGTTTTTGATCTTGGTTCTTGTCTGCCTTTCCCTTAGGATCTCTCTCTCCAGCTTCCATAACTGTTTTTTTTCTTTGTTTTTTTTCTGTTTTTTCCTCTCGTTGGATTGATTTCTTTGTCCATTTCCTCTGAATTCTGGGAAAGCATCTCAAGTTTGTCCTCCACATTATCGATTTTTGTTTTCCTTGGCATTACTTCGCTCTCCACTATCTCCAGTGTAGATTCTCATTCTGCTATTTGATATTTAGTTTTTTCCCTCTTGCCCTCTATTTCCTTCTCCATTTTATCCCACAATAAGTCAGAGGCCTGCTTTCCAGAACTTACAACCTTTTCTTTACACCTAAGCATTCGTCCTAGTGTCTTCTGTTGACTGTATCTGTCCAGACTTGGGTGTTTTATTCACACACACTTAACACATTCTTGAGCAAATTAGGTTGGGTTTCAGGTGACAGGAAACACAACAGTGATCAAGACAGACAGAAACTTCTGCTTCTTGGAGCTTACATTCTAATGGGAGGAGACATGATAAAACAGCTAGGTAAAATTAATAGGATGCCAAATGTTGTTAGGGACTGAATTGTGTCCCCCAAAAGATATTAAATCCTAACCCCCACTACTTCAGAATGTGACCTTATCTGAAAACAGGGCCATCGTAGATGTAATTAGCTAGAACTAGGTCATACTGGAATAGGGTAGGTGCTTAATCCAACATGACTAGTGCCCTAATAAGAAAGTAATGTGAAGAAAAGGGGGAGAAAATGCCAAATGAGGCAGAGATTGGAGACATCCGTCATAAGCCAAGGGCTGCTGAAGATGACTGACCATACCGGAAGCTAAGAGAAAGCCATGAAAGAATTCAGAGCCTTCCAAAGAGCATTATCCTGCCCATCTTGATCTCAAACTTCTAGCCTCCAGAGTGTAGAATAGATTTCTGTCATCATCAGCCATTAGGCTGTGGTACTTTGTCATGACCACCCCAGAAAGCCAATATAGGTGTCCATCAGTGAGTTGGAGAAAAATCAGCAGGAAGGGAGGAAGTGGGAGTTCGAGGGTAAGATATTTCAATTTTAAATCGAGTGTTCTGGGAAGGTCTCTGGGGAAAGGGGATGACTGAGCAAAAACAGGAAGCAAGAGAAGGAGCCACATGGGTGTGAGGGGAAGAGCACCCCTCACAGAGGGACTCTGCCTGTAGACTGAGCCTCTGTCTTCCCCCCTGCTCTCCCTGGCTCCTGTGGTCTTGGAATTCTTTCCCAGACTCGGCCATGCAGGGTGGTAGAGAAGGCTGAATCCTGGCATCGTCCAGACCTGGATTTGAATTCCAGCCTACCACTTTCCAGATGAGGCGGTTCCTTAACCTCTTTGACCTCAAGTCTCCATCTGTGAAATGGGGATAACAAAAATTCCCTCTATCTGAAGATTTGGGGAAGATCAAAAGAGCAAGTGAAGGTCAAGACCTTTCTGGGAGAGGAGGGTCAGGGGCTGGAAAGGTGGTTACTTGACTGCTATTTTCATCATCGTTAATCTCTCTCCTGCTTCTATTGGCATTGACGGGTTGATGAGCAGAGCGCCCAGTTCCATCCTTGATCTCCTGCAGACTTTCAACTAGTGCCTCTGCTCCACACACAAAGGCGCTTTACACTTGAAAGCTGGCGGAGCTCTGCCAGCCTCTGAGGCACAGGAAGCTATTTCAAGTGTGCACCCAGGGAGGATGCCACCGCGTGTGGCAGGACAATGTCACAGCAGCACCAGGGACCTCCTTCCACCTCCACCCCCGCCCTATGTACTCCCTGCAGAGCTGCCACCCACTCTGAGTCTCCCGGGCCCTCGCTGTGGTGCCATGGAGTGACAGTTTGGGCAGATCTGGCTCCAGCCACCTGGGCTGCCTGCAGGCCCTCTGCTAGCTACTTTTTCCCCAACTGCAAAAACTCCCAGGGCTGAAATGTGACCTACAGGCTTGGAGTCCACTCCAGAGGAGTGTTGTTTCCCTTGCTCGCCCTCTCTGGGCTCAGGCTCCCCATCTGTGAATTCAGGGATTTGGAAGGAACAGCTCTACACCGCCACCTGTTTTGACTGGTGTCACCTGGGGCCAGCCCAAGACAGCAGGGACACACCAGGAACTGGCATCCATGCCAGTGACTGTATGTATGAACATGAGGGAGTGGAAGAGAGGGAAAGATGTCACTGACAGCTCTGTGGTCACCTGTGCCTAGTTACAAACCTCCAGCAGCTCCTACTGCCCTCAGGGTGAAGGACAAAGTTCTTAGCTCTGCACTCAAGGCTCCTGGAAACTTGCTCCAAACTGCTCCCAGCCCAGCATCTTCCTTCCCACCCCGCTCCCACCCCCAACATGTAGGCTCTGGGAAATCCCTGCTGACCGGAAGCTCGCCAGGAGCAGACCTGTTCTGCCCTCTGACCTTCAGCCCTCCTTCCTGGCCCAGCTCTTGCTAATCTTCCCTGGGAAATGCTATTCTCTGGAGCCTGGTCTGAACCGTCTTCCAGGGGGATGAGTCACTCCCTCCCTGTGTTCCTGCTTCCCTTGAGAGGTATCTGTCTTCCTCTCCACGCTGTGAGCAACCGAGGACAAGGACAGGTGTGACGGTGTCTGGGAGCCCAGGAGAGGGTCAGGCACATAAAAGGTGCTTGAGAGAGTTTGCAGAATGAATAGATGAATGCAAGAGGCTTATTTACAACTGAGGAAACTTCTAGTTGACCTTTTTTTTTCTGTTGTTCTCCAAGTGACTGTCACCGAATGGGGGTCTGAGCCTTCACTCCCAATAGCAATTCCTCCTTGCTGCAGATTTTGAACAAGATATTTCCTCCCACCGAGGAGGAAAATCATCTTCAAAACGGAGACGACGATAACTTGTAGCCTGCTTGCACCTCAGGCTGGGTTGGGAGATAGGAAATCACCGTGAAGCTCTAAGTAGCTGTGCCCCTGGCCAGGGCTGGACAGCAAGCAAGGGAGAAGCCAAGGGAAACCAGTTCCTCAGGGCTTCTCCTAGGTCTGAGGTACTGTGGTGAATATGAACTTGAGGCTCTGACCAAATTTGAGTCCTTTTCATAGTCAGGGGGTTAGGGACCCCTGGGAGTGTCACCATAAGCTTATCATTCGGGTTGAGGCCAGCCATGCCTACCTTAAGCTTCTTGACACTGGTGCAGGGATCATTGGAGAAGCTCTCGGTGTCCGAAATCTCGATGTCCTCACCATACAGAACCCCGGTCAGGTCGTTCCTCACCTGGCAGCAAAGAGAAAGCAGAGGGTGGGTGTGGTGGCAACCACAGGAAGAGCCAGTGCTCAGGACTCATCTGGAGGAAGCAGCTCCAGTAGGCAATACAATTTCCTCCACTCCACCAGCAACACGAAGGGAGTGGCTTCTTCTCTTCATTATAAACTAGAGCGCCCCGGTGACCTTGAAGACCCCACAGTACCACCCTGTGCTTGACACAGGAACGCAAGGAGGGCAGACAGGGAAGGGGCTTGCTAAGTTTTTCCAAGAGGTTCCTGGGGGAGTCGAGATGAGCACCCTTGCTAGTGTTTTTCCACCACATCACTCTGTCTCCAAATCAGGCTATCCAATTATGTCTCTGTGTATATTTTGCATTATTTATGTGCAATATCGTTTCATTTTTTATGGCAAAAAAGAGAGAAATAGCGAAGACATTCAGAGAGATGATGCAGAACAGAAGAGAAGGAAGTATGGAACCAGCCTGCTGACACATAGAATGACGAATGTCTATGTGCTTGGAAAGCAGAAGGCTGCAGACTATAGTGTCGCCAGGACCAGTCAGTGTGTCAAGCAGCCTGTGTGGATAGTATGGAGGGTATTAGGGAATGGTGGGGGATGTGACAAACCAGTGACCACATGCCCCATCTAAAGATAGCAGTTGTTCAATTGCCATGCTAAAATGAAGGTATTTTGGTATCGAAGAAAGAAATCAGAAATCTAGACTTTTTCTTTTTCTTTTCTTTTCTTTTTTTTAGTTTTACTAGAGGGTGTACACACTTGCCAGAGAGAGACAGAGAGAGAGGGAGAGGAAGAAAGTAACCCCCATGGGGGATGGTCATGCTGCAATCCCTGCTCCATTTTTCCACCCTGTGTGGATTTTGAGCATGCATGCACACATGCCTGCTGTGTTTTTCAAGCTCCTGGGTCTGAGACTTTAGCCATGTGGGATCCAGTACCCTGGGAAAATATCAAGCCCCCAAATCTAGACTTTTAATACATAAACTTCCCTACATTTTAAGATGTTGATACTATTTTGATTTTATTTTTAAGTGAGGATGAAACCAAATAAATTGGAAATATCTGGCCGTGGTCATGCTGTGCACCCTCCAGCACACAGAAGTGGAAACTGGACCGTGTGTTTTAGTAGGAACTAGGTTGAAGTCTAGGGACCAGCTCCCAGGTCCTGCTCTGTCACTGACTTGCTTATGACCTTGGCCTCAGTGTGACCATCCCCTTCTCTGGGCCTCAGTTTCCTCCTCTTTAAGAAAAAAAAGTACTTCCTGTTTCTGCCTGTTAGGATGACTACTATCAAAAGACAGGAAGCAACAAGTGTTTGCAAGGATATGGAGGCACTGGGATGTTAGTTATTGCCGGTGAGAATGTAAGATGGTACAGCTGTTAAGAAAACAGTATGGTAGGCCCTCAGAAAACTGAACATAGAAAATCATATGACTCGGGACCAGCAGTTAGCGTAATGGCTATGTCGCTGGACTCCCATGCAGTCGACCGCAGCTCCCTTCCCAGACCCGGTGGCTTAAAACTCACGCCAGGCACGTGTGCGTGCATGCCCAAGATCCCAAGAGGAGAATAGAGGAGAAGGGATTGCG